AAGCTTAGCATTCCTCATTGAAAAAAAGTTCTCTCTCTCGCTCTCAAGTCTCAGTAAGTTTAACGTTTATGGCATAAGTCGGTTTGGGTAGTTGTGTGCTCACCCTTAAAGCATTCACTAAGGCTAGGAGCATGCTGCACTCTCAAAAGCCAGGCCATGAAGTGAGGTTAACCCCATCCAAACCACATGGGCTGAATATAAAGGAGGTTTCTCAAGGGCAAACTGCAGAATGCTAATACCAGAAGAAACTGATTCTGCATGTGCAAAACACTGATGAACCATAGCCAATGCGGTAGAAACACACGCACAAGAATGAGAAACAACAAACTGTAAATAGATTAAAGATTTTCTAAGCAGGGACTTGCTTAGATGGATTTGATAATTTGAACAAGAGAAATGAGTCAAACAGACTGTACTGGAGGTGGTCTTTTTGGCCTAGTGGTTATGACATTTGCACCCCAGATCAGAATGCTTGGATTGAGTCTGGCTACTGCTCCGGATTCCAGCTTCCTGTTAACATGGACTCTGGGAGGCAACAGGGGATTGTTCAAATGGTTAATTCTCTGCCATCCACTCCAGAGACCTGAATAGAACTTCCAGCTCCTGACTTCAGCCTTGGCCCAGCCCTGGACATGGCAGGCATTTGTGGGAATGAACCAGTGAATTAGAGTGTGTACAATGCCTCCCCTCCAACTCCTTTGTCTTTATGCCTCTCAAAAAAGAAAAAAAAAAAGATTGTAATATATATTTTACTCACCTAAGATCGGATACAGCCAAAAAATAAAAAATAATACAGACCTTCAAGTGAAGGTTGATAAAAGACAACGAATTTGATATCGAAACTAGGTTATTGGACAAATCAAGGTTCTCTGGAGAAACAGAATTGTATGTGTGTGGTTTGTGGGGCTGGCAAGTCTGAGATCTGTAGAGGACTCAGGGAGAGTTGATACCGCAGCTCCAGTCTGAAGGCAGAATGTCTTCTTTCTTGGGGAACTTTTTTTTTTTAATTCTTTGACAGGCAGAGTGGATAGTGAGAGAGAGACAGAGAGAAAGGTCTTCCTTTGCCATTGGTTCACCCTCCAATGGTGCGCTGCGGCCCACGCACCGCGCTGATCCGATGGCAGGAGCTAGGTGCTTCTCCTGGTCTCCCATGGGGTGCAGGGCCCAAGGACTTGGGCCATCCTCCACTGCACCCCCTGGCCACAGCAGAGAGCTGGCCTGGAAGAGGGGCAACCGGGACAGAATCCGGCGCCCCGACCGGGAGTAGAACCCGGTGTGCCGGCGCCGCAGGCAGAGGATTAGCCTAGTGAGTCGCAGCGCCGGCCGGGGAACTTTTTCTTTAAAAGTCTTCAACTATTATGACAAGGCCCATTCAATATATGAGGGCAATCTCCTTGAAGTTTACCGACTTAAGTATTAGCCATATCTAAAAAATACTTCATAGTAACATCTAGAATATTTAATCAAAAACTCTGTGCCATGGCCTAACCATGTTGACACATAAAATTAACCATCACAGATACCAACTTAAATTCTGAGTCATCCCCACTCTAAGGCAGAGAGGAGTTAGCATCCTAATGTTCACGTCAAATCTGAAACCAACTGAATCTAATGCCTGGGTTTGAGTCTTAGGTTAACAGTTTTTGGTGTTCCACATGTGATTTCAAGGTTGAGAACCGCTAGCACTGATCAGTGGTTCTTGGTGAGGTTCTAGCTCACCTGCTAGAAATCAAAGTGGTCTATTAAACCAGAAACCCAAAGAATGGGGCCCAGCAGTCTGTGGTTTAGCACTGCTACCAGGTGATCCCAACGCATGCTCAAGTTTGAGAACCACTGGTTCAGAGTTATCCAAGGATATAATACTAACATATGCAGGAGCCTAATACCAGACCTCCAGGTCCTTTTGTTTTAACTAGAAGAGCAAGTGTGCTAGCAAAATTCTTTGGGTGAAAGAACTCATTAAGGTAAATCTAAGTGTGCTTGCTGCAGGGACATATATGAAAATGGGGGATTTTAACTTAATGGTCACTTGTATCTTAACCTGATCATAGCTCTAGTAACTCAACATGTTTTTAAGTGTTTAGGTATAGTGCACTAGCATTATAATACAAAACCTTGGCTATTTCCCTTATATAAAATGCAGCCTTTTTTTTTTTTCTCATTTATTGTCTGTACAAATTCCTGACAGAAACTTGAATGGCTCAAATCATAATTTCATCATCTGAACAGTGTTTCTATAACACCTGATCAACTTCTAAGCTTCTGGCCAAATTCTGTTGGAGCAAATGAAAATCAAAATGCAGTATTATTAACTGTTTCCAAGAGTCATTTCCCTTAAAAGGTTTGAGGAGTCTCCTAATATTTGTGGGTATATCATCCAGTGTGAAGCTTGGTCTGTTAGGGAGGTTTAGTTGTTCTTGGACCCTTAAACCTATGTCTAGTTCTTTAACACAAGAAGACAACAGGCATAAAACAAGCAATTGTTCAATTATACCTTTGGGAAATGAACTGGAAACTTACTGAAAAGGAAATGTTTTTTCTTTCAACAATTTATATAGCAAAGTCTTATCATCCAATTTAGAAATTCAATGAGCCAAATTATTTGGGAGGAAATAAACTTATTTGCATGCACCAAATTGTAAGTTCTGTATTTTACATAAAAATTATCTTTGCATAGTCTGTCACTTGACCCTAAATGGGTAGAAACTTGGTGGCTTTAAAAAAAAATTCTTACTTACCAAAAAGGAAATAGGAAAAACACAAAGCATAAAGCTCAGGTGATACTCTTCTCCAGATCACTTCAGATTGGCACTCTCAGCTACCTTTTATTAACTGAACTAACCTCACTAGACTAAACTGAAATAAAAGAGGAAAAGTCAAGTCAGTGTCACAATAAATAGCCACTGGGAAGGGCATATAACTATTATTTATAGAACCTTATGATTCCAGAATTTATTGCACATTCATGAATCATTTTAGCTTTCCTAATGGTAAAATTATACTTCACCCAGAACTTTGTAAAGTCCATTCACAAAGCAGCAGTATTACTACACTTTATCTTATACCACCAAATTACTGATTTAATTTTCAAAGTAACTCCAGTATTGCCTCAACATTCAATAAAAAAATTTGGATTCATCAATTTCTTCAATGTAACTTGTTGGTGACAATTACAAGTTTATTAGAAGTTGGAAGGTGTGTTTATTTGTTTGCAAATGCTTTAGTTTCAGTAAGCCCATTAATTTCCAAACTATAGTCTAGGTAGACTAGGACAGCTCTTAAATAAAAGTAAAATGTTTGCTTGTAGTGACATGAAGCTTCTACTCATTGCTTGTTTAACAAAGAAATCACTCTCTTAGTTTGGGGGAGGAAGGAATCAATACATTTTATTCATGTCATTGTGTAGGGCTTCAATAAAGTCTTTTCACATTTAAAGTACTTTCAAACTTTTTTTTTTTCATTTAATAAGGCTGTATTATTATCTGTTTATAATCTGCTTTACTCTTGTTTTTGGGAATTAATCTTGTCAGTCAGTCCTCAAAGCAATGCCATTATGAATAATCTAGTTACAGCATACTATTACACTTTCAAACTAGGTGTCAATAGTGTTTTGGTTTTCAAGAATACTAACATCATTTCTTCAAGTAACTCAACTTGGAAATAAATGAAAACCAACCCAGAATTTCCCATGTATATTTATGTATCCCCATTCATATTCTTAAAAAAAGAAAAAAGCCAACACAGTTGGCTTCTATTGAGAAATACCTAAGAGTGTGACAAAGAGAAATCATTTTATTTCAGTATTGTTTTTTAATTCCAACTTTGGCAGGGTATTATGTAATTACCCGTTCAGAGTTTAATTCAGAAGTGAAGAGATTAGGAAGCAGCAGCAGCAGCATGGAGCAGTTTATGTTCATGAAGATACCAGCAGATGTCAGTAAAAACTAAGAGGTCACATGAATTCTGCACAAGGATGTTAGCTACTTCCAGCAGGGTAGCCATAACGGAAGTGGAAAATCTCTACCAAAGTTCAGTCCAGATAAGTCACCTTTTTTCTACACTGTGACTCAATTTTGGATGTGAGGGGTGTAAAAGACCACAGTGAGACTTTTCTGGGTACCAGCAGCTCCTTTAAGAACGGAAATGCTGATTAAAAAAAAAAAGAGAGGAAAAAATAAAAAATCTACAACACTACATACCAAATCAGACAGTCACTTTAAAAAAATCAAATGGTTTACAGAATATTTCATATTATGCAAGCAGTCCAATGCACACTCAGGGGTTCTGAATGTTATTTTTGGGCATATGGCTGCAGGTATTTTTCTGAGGATACATGTGAAAGCTTTCATCAGTCTCACAGTTGTCTTTGCCTTCCAAAAGGTTAAGAACCAAGCTGAAACTTATATTCTTTTACTAGCAAATCACCATATATGTATATATGTAGGTATGTATATTTCAAAATTCATTTGCTAACTTACTTACTTGAATTTACGTCATGAAAGCAGTTTTAGAAGACTGTCAGGTTGTAGAACAGCTTCTGCCGGCACCGTGGCTCACTAGGCTAATCCCTCGCCTTGCGGCGCCGGCACACCGGGTTCTAGTCCTGGTCGGGGCACCGGATTCTGTACCGGTTGCCCCTCTTCCAAGCCAGCTCTCTGCTGTGGTCAGGGAGTGCAGTGCAGGATGGCCCAAGTACTTGGGCCCTGCACCTGTATGGGAGACCAGGAGAAGCACCTGGTTCCTGGCTTCGGATCAGTGAGGTGTGCTGGCTGCAGCGTGCTGGCCGCGGCGGCCATTACAGGGTGAACCAATGGCAAAGGAAGACCTTTCTCTCTGTCTCTCTCACTGTCCACTCTGCCTGTCCAAAAAAAAAAAAAAAAAAGAACAGCTTCTTACACAGGAGACACAATATTTTAAAAGCAGAAGAATACAATATATGATATCCCAAGGTACACAGCTATTTTCTTACATGTATTTCTAAAAACAAAGAGAAAATTCAATCACATGGGATGACACTTTATTCAAATACACATATACATTTTTACTTTGTGTAACACTTGTAAGGTCAGCAACTTTTCTACTAGGATCTGCACATAGAAGTCAACTGTTTATATAAGGTTTTTTTTACTTTTCAGATGAATAGAATTTTGAAGTAATTTAGCCACCTTAATAATATGCAAAATATAATAAGGATCTAGATGTTTCACTGTATAATTACCATCATTTTATATTAAGAAACAGTAAGTGGAATTGTGATGTAATTTTTCCAAAACATGGTTTTTACTGGTATTGTAGCCTTTTCTAAATCAGATGTACCTTTCTCTGTAAGTTTTGTATTATCGTAAGTCTGGTTCCCTAAATGGGCATGATGAACAAACACTATCAAAATTGTTCAGGAAATTTTCCCTTGAAAAACTTATTACTGTCTTAAAATAACAGAGGTAATGTCCTACCAAGGAATGCTGGAATACAGCAATTTGAATTAAAGCCATTTCTCCCAACAAAGATGATTCCATGGGCAGGTGTTTGGCCTAGCAGTTAAGCTGCCAGCTGGACCGCCTGTATCTCATGTTAGGGTGCCTTGGTTTGAGTTCCAGTTTCCTGTTAGTGTGCATTCCAGGAGGCAGCAGGTGATGGCTCAAGTGACTGGGTCTCTGCCACCCACATGGAAGACCTGGACTGAGGACCTGGCTCCTGGTTCATCCCAGCCCAGCCAGTGTTGCTCTACCTTCTTTTCATTATCATTCCCTTAAGGAGCATTTTTAGACCTTTTAAACCTAGGCAACCACTTCATACAATTTTAACACTACAGATTAATGTATTATCTGTTTATGCATCGTATGTAAACTTGTGCTTTATACATAAACAGAATATGATGCTTTTTTTGTCCCTAAGAACATACTTTCACAGAGAATGCATTGTACAAAGATTTATAATATTGAAGATTTATTTTTCTTTGAAGAATAAAAAAAAGCAATATATCTTATGACTTAGATATGTAGATTATTTCCAAATAGTTATACTCAATTAGTCAGTTGAATCAAAATCATTTCCCCTGAAGTAGGCATTGTCCCCAGCTGCACGCAGTCCTCATTTTGCAATGGTACTGAGGGACCATAAAAATGGCCATGCAAAGTAATCTGAATAATCAATCAGTGGGGAAAATTAAAACTGCTCCAAGCCGTTAAAAATCTGTCAAAACATTAAAAACTCTGTCAGTTATAAATATACAAGAAAATGAAAAAAGGCTTAAATGTTGACAGCGTATTTTATTTTATTGTAAAAAATTAATCAAGTAGTTCAATGGTATTTGCCCTTTTTTCCTGTCAAATAACTCTGTATGATACTGAGTATCATTTGTATACTATAGCAAGTCATCATACTCCTTTTATGTTTGAATCAGGTTCCACCATTTCATTGTACTTTCAATACTGCATACTTCTGCAGTCACATTATATATTCTTTCGTGAAGCTTTCCTGAGACATAGTCACCCTTTTCATCACAACCAGGTTCCTCATTTATGTTTGTAAGCCTGCCCTCACTGAGTTCCTCTGGTACATAACTAGAACCTAAAACGGCAGTAATAACACTCCCAAAACTGTGATATTATGTACTATTCCATTTATGTTAAATTCAAATTTCACTTCCAGTGTTACCATTTTTTTTTCATTTATTGGATGCATTTCCATCTTTATTGGACAATTCTTCTGATTATCTACTTGTATAAAATTTCACTTCAGTGACAATGTAACTACATGCTTTGCTGTGAGTAAACTGAATAACAGACACACAGGAGCCAATCACTCACAGAATCTGAAAGAAGAAACATGACTGGTTCCTGATCATTAAGTATACCTGCTATTTACATAATACTCTGTGGCCTGAGGAACTGGCAGGGAAGCGCTGCTTCATACAATTACTCATAGCTAATATCCTGTGATATATGAAATTGAATCATGCTGTTAGAAGACTTGGTGTTTTTTAACTAAATCATGTCACTGAAATTTGTGCCCTATGGGAACTATGCAAATTGAGGACTGCCTATGTTACTTTACATTGACCTAGGCAGGCTTAAAACAGACTGCTGAGAAACTGCTCATCTAAATTTATATCAAATAATGAATGTTGAAGAAACACTCAAAACGCAACATCAGTGCATACTGAATACATTTTCAGGTAGTTAAATCTTTGTCATTTGGCAATCAAGCTTCAAATTTATCTTAGAAAGACAGAACTTTAGAAACAGAATGAGAACCTTTAAAGACCTCTTAGTTTGACACTACAAATTACCCAGCATGTTTGTTATGAATTATCTCTCCCCCTTCGATTTCAATTTGCTCATATAGCCACTTGCGGTCACAGCGGCATTCAGCTCCACATTTGGTAGATCCACAGGCAGGACAAGCATAGAAACATCCCAAGCAGTCTTCATCAAGGCAGTCGCAGAGATCCATCCCACTGAAAATCAGGAGACCCTGGCTATCATAAACCTTACTCTTCGCTGGGATCACCTGCCTGGAAATAAAACACAATGAATTACACCTCACAAATACTGTTCTTGAATATTTAACTGAAAATTAGGTAATAAAAAAATTTAAGGTGATAAGAATTTTGCATGGGGCCAGCACTGTGGCGAAGGGGGTAAAGCTGCCACCTGCAGTGCTGGCATCCCTTATGGCTGCCAGTTTGGGTCCTGGCTGCTCCACTTCCAATCCAGCTCTTTGCTATGGCTTAGAAAAGCAGTAGAAGATGGCTCAAGTTCTTGGGCCCCTGTACCCACGTGGGAGACCCAGAAGAAGCTCTTAGCTCCTGGCTACGGATTGGCGCAGCTCCAGCCATTGAGACCAACTGGGGAGTGAATCATTGGATAGAAGACTCTCTCTCTACACCTCTGCCTCTCTGTAACTCTGCCTTTCAAATAAATAAATAAATCTTAAAAAAAAAAAAAAAGAATTTTGCATTAGCGATGAGATCCTATCAAAGTGGTACATAAGTTACCAGGCTTACTCTACAATCAGTAACAAATGAGCTTCTTATGAAGACACAGAACTCTATAGTGTTGAGACAAATATAGAAAGCCTAAATACGTCTTGTGAAGTCCATTTAAACATAAACAGCAAAGGAATGTATATGAACTTTGTCCAAAAGGTAAGCATATTTTTGTTAAAATGATTTTCCCTTTACCTTAAAAAAACAAGAGTGGCTAGTTAACAGTGGTTCACTTTATTGGCCACCAATCTTTTCACTGCCCTGTAAAGTTTTATCTTTATTATTAAAAAATTTAATGTTTTTATTTTATATACACACACAGCTCCTATCCACTGGTTCACTCCCTACATGCCAAGAGTTGGGAGCAGGATCAATCCAGGTCTCCCACACTGGTGGCAAGGACCCACCCACTTGAGCCATCACCTGTTCCTCCCAGGGTACACATTAGCAAGTGGCTGGAACTGGGACCAGAGCTGGCACCTGAATTGAGGCACACAAATGGGAAGTGTTCCAAGAGGCATCTTAACCACTAAAGCAAATAACCACACCTGTCATTTTATTTCTATTACAGCATACTATCCTATAGGTATTTATATTGCAATTGCATTTTATTCTTTAATGGACTCTAGTAAATATGACCTAAAAAATATTTAAATCACTCAATGGAAATCTTAACAGATGAAATAAATAGCATTAGTAGAAATGTTGACTACTTTCTGGTCATTATACTGACATTTGTTTGTCAAATAATTGTAGAAATGCTCAACTTAAAATATTCATATTCTAAACCTTTTAGTTCTCTTATTTGTTTTTTGGCTATATCAGAACTATTTCTATATAACATGTAAAAAATAAAAAGTATCTTGTATTTTCATACATTTACATCTCAGCTGCCACTCAAGAGTTGATATATCAATTATATATTATCAGTGGTTTTCAAAAAACTGAATTATTTTAATTCTAAGGCACACAGGTTTTCAATTATTTTAAGTCTCATACCAAAATATTATTTTGTCATTTTGTCACTTCACTGCTACCTTCTTAGAAATAATTTTTTATAAAGTTGAAACAGATGCCTTAATTCCTATGAAGAAAAACCAATGACTTTGGAAATGTTTACTCATTTCACATTATCCAATTTAAAATGTCTACACAGAAAATTGGAAACTAAGAGAAAAGTAGGGGAACAATATTGATGTGAAGGAGCAAATTAACAGATGTCTTATGTCACACTAGCCCACCTATCTGAACCAGCAGTTGCATTTTTTGTAAGCCTTCTTTTTTCTCTTTTACCAGTTTCTGGAGCAAATTCAGTTTGCTTTCCTGGATTTGTAAACTGTAATGACCTCAAAGCTTTAGCAGTTCTTCCCTGAAAAAAAGAGAAAGAAATTACCAACTCAAATCTTGACATCACATGATAAAAACATTAATATTCAATTAATGTTAATCCAGATCATTCCTTAACCTATAAGACAGTCTAGAATGAGCATGCATGTGCACCCAATTTTAGAAGTCAAGTGCAATAAAATTTCCACAATGCTAAGCTATATTCAGAGCTTATTGGTCATTTGCGTAATAACATTTTCATGATATGATTTTAGTCTCTGGTATATTAGGTGCAGACAAGCATGGTGCAAACTGCAATGGCTGTTCCCAGGTTGAGAAAAAGCAGGTAACTGCTGTAACGCAGTGACACATAACTGAGATGCTGAAGGATGATTCTGGGTCCTTCAGGAAGTTTTATTATTATATTTTATATATATGTTTTTTAAGAGCAGAGATTATGGTTCCAAAACTGCAAATAATATTGTCCTCTTTTATAAAAGCTTTGGCAAAACAAAATTTTAGGGATTAAGGACTTAAGTTTGTTATTTTGTGGAAAAATGCTTCATGTGAAAGATTCCACAAGAGCAACAGACAGATGAGGTGAAGGCATCTACAGTGAGAGTATCAAAAGGTCCAGTATGAATTGCAGATAACACTCCGTCCTGGAGATGGTTCTCTGGGAAGCAAACAAAGAAAAACAAACATATAATTTCAAGTTGTAATTACTTTTAACCTGGCTTATTAATATAATGGAAAGGAGAAAAGTGAGAAACCATTCCAGCACAAGAATTATAACTTGTTCTGGTATAGTTAAATAGTTTGTATGTAGGCATGTGAATGAGGAAGGGAGGTATAAAATATTTAATACTTTACATGTAAAAATTTATGCTCTTGGACTATAGGGATCCTAAAATTAGTCTTGACCCTATGAAGACTTCAGAGCTAGAAAAGCAAAAGAACTCAAAAGCATTTTAAAAAACTCAAACAAGAATTGGACAGTGTCAAAGAAAGACTGAAAGAAAAAATGATTATTCAAGTCACTTCTCTGATGCTCCTTTTAAAACAGTGATTTCCAAATTCTTCATAAAAAGAGGAACTCATCCTGCTATAAAGACCCAGGCTGGCTGGCATGTCCCATTTAGTTATTGTAGTGTCAGAAAAGAAACTGTTAGTTAAGCCCCAACTTTGCCAGAATGCTCTAAAAGCCATTTCTAATGTTTCAGCACTACAAGTTGCAGCTTAGTGTCTTGGGCATATTGTCATGGTTTTCACAAGCCTACTTTGTTTATTCTTTATTCTGACACTGGGTATGAAGAAGTATTTGGCCACACTACTTACTTGCAATTATCCAATTCTAAATAAACTGTATGCTAACGAATGATGAGGTAAATATGACTTCCTTGTAGTTAAACAAATGTCACAGTCTAGAAGTCATACGGTAGAAAAAAATGACTACTATACATACATCTGATTCAGGTTTTCTTCTCTGGCGGTCTTCAGAATCAACATCCACGCTTCCATTGATTATCTGAGTACATTTTGGACAAAGTTTCCAACCAGGTACAAGCTGTCTTCCAAATTTTGCACTCAGAAAAGTGGCATCATCTAAGTCAATCACGTGCAGATTTTTTTTGGCTAGTTTTTTATGTATGTTAAATGGGTCACAACATGACTTCTGCAAATCCTCAAATCTATCAATGTAAATTTTTACATGATGGAAACAAATTGTATTGTTCCCAGAAAGTGTCATTCCAGTTCTAAGTTGAAGTAAAAGCATATCATTTGATGACAGTTCTTGCAAAGTCTTGAAACCTGTGTGACGAGTATAATAGGTTTTATGACACTCATTTGTGGTACGGAGCTGGACTCCAACGGAACATGGATCCATCATTCTTGATTTTAGTAAATTTTCCAATTTTCTTTCTTCAGCAGGTTATATGCTGGTCACCCTAGGGAAAAACATTAAAGATAGTTATATTTGTGCAGCATTTTATAAGGGAAACTGAGACAGCTTTTGATAAACTTCAACACCCACTTAAAACGAAGAAAACTGTTAACAGGAATGAAACCAAAAGCCTACAATAAACATTAAAATCATCAAATATGAGAAGAGCATTCCCTGTAAAGCCAGAACTGACCAAGAACACCTGCTCTAGTAGCTTTTACTTAAGATCGTATTAATAAGTGTAAGAACTGAAAAGGAAGAAACATTATGCAAAGATAACATGAATATCTACATGAGAAATACAAGTTCAACAGACAAACTATTAAAATAGGGATGCTGTAAACCAAAACGTTACACAATACCTTACAAAATACACGAATCTTACAAAAAGATATGTAAGATCTTTATGGAGAAAATTATCAAACTAAAAAAAAACCCTTAAATAAAAGAAGCTATATATCATGGAAAACCTGACTATGGTAAATATGTTAATTATCTCGGAATTCATCTATAAATTCAATGCTAATCAAACTCCCATCAGATCTTCCATCCCCAGCTCTCTTGGACTTCAGCAAGTAGGTCTATACTGAAGATTAAAGGTTCAAAGAAATCCTTTGGGAAAACAAATAAAGTAAGATATTGATTTACTATAAAGCCATTATAATTAAAACTGTGGTATAGACAAAGTATGGACAAACAGCTCCATGAATACATGAGGGCCTGGTGCATTATGACACATGGTACTATAAATTAATCAGCAGTTAGCTGGATTTTAACTAGCTAACTATTTGGAAAAAGATGTCTTGCACAGAGGGTGGTGTTGTGGCATAGCAGGTAAAGCCACTGCCTGTGATGCTGGTATTTCATATGGGTGCTGATTTGAGTCTCGGCTGCTCCACTTCTGATCCAGCTCCTTGATAATAGCCTGGGAAAAGCAGCAGAAGATGGCCCAAGTGTTCGGGCCTCTGCCTCCCACATGGGAGACTCCCATGAAGCTCCTGGCTTTGCCTGGCCCAGTGCTGGTCATTGTAGACATCTGGGGAATGAAGCAGTAGGTGGAAGATCTCTGTCTCTCTCCCTTTCCCTATAACTCTTTCAAAATAAATAAATAAATCTTAAAAAAAAAAAGGATGTCTTACACAAAGTTAGTTACACACAGATCAAAGAATTAAATTTGAGAAAAATTTGTAAAAATGTTTATGAGAGCATATGTGTAGGAGATTTTAATATGGGAGTATGGAAAATTTTTTCCAAAAGAAAGTACACATTAAGGCCGGCGCCGCGGCTCACTAGCCTAATCCTCCGCCTAGCGGCGCCGGTACACCAGGTTCTAGTCCTGGTCAGGGCGCCGGATTCTGTCCCGGTTGCCCCTCTTCCAGGCCAGCCCTCTGCTGTGGCCAGGGAGTGCAGTGGAGGATTGGCTTATTTGTTTTTTTTTCTTTTTTTTCGCATGTGAAGACCAGGAGAAGCACCTGGCTCCTGCCTTTGGATCAGCGCGGTGCGCCGGCCACAGCGCGCCGGCCGCGGCGGCCATTGGAGGGTGAACCAATGGCAAAGGAAGACCTTTCTCTCTGTCTCTCTCTCTCACTGTCCACTCTGCCCGTTAAAAAAAAAAAAAAGAAAAAAAAAAGAAAAAAAAAAAAAGAAAGTACACGTTAAAAGAAAGAATGATGTATTTGGTTATATGTCAACATTATTTATATACTTTTCTGTTATAACTGAGGAAAAAAGAAAACAATTGAAAGGTATTGTTAGGATTATTATCTCAAATATTCGAAAAGTTCCTGACTTCTAAAAGTCAATTAGAAAGTGACACAGAATCCATCAGAAAGCTAAACAAATGCAGGGGGAATTCATAGAGAAAGGAAATAAATCCATATTTGCATGCAAAGTATCTACTTAATGGTTTTCAGGAAAATGTAAATTAAGTAGTATTTCTAAACATTTTGCTGGAAAAAATGTAAAACTCTGGTATCCTAGTGCTGGCCAAGATGTAGATAATTCTTACATGTTCCTTATACACTGGTAGGAAACAAACTGATGTTAACTGCTTTGGAAAGCTTTTGGCATTTTCTTGTAAGGCTGAAACACTGTACACTCTAGAACTTTCTTCAGTTCTTGATGACTGTGCTGGAGAAAAATATTTCCAATATAAGCGCAAGTTACATAGAAGAACTTTCAGCACTTACTGCTTTTAGTAGTGAAATAGAAATAACCTATTGTGAAGAATGAGAAATTATGGATTTCTCATACAGGGGATTCCTAAATAACTGTTAAAATGAATAACATACACAAATTGACTTGGATAAAGCTCAAAAACATGTTAAGTAAAAAAAGTTGCCACGGATTATCATTATCATTATCATGATAGCATCATTAATGCCTAATTTTATACCCACAAAATTATATTGTTTATGAAAAACACAAATACATAACTAAAATAAGTAACAGACCCCATATTTGTTGATACATCTGCAGAGAAATCCTTTTTTTGTTTTTCAAAAGATTTACCGAAAATATGGCTAAGGGGGCCAGCACTGTGGCTCACAGGATTAAGCTGCTGCTTGCAATGCTAGCATCCCATATTGCTGTACTGGTTCAAATCCCACCTGCTCTCCTTCCCATCCAACTTCCTGGTAATGTGCCTGAGAAGGCAGCGGAAGATGGTCTGAATACTTGGACCCCTGGATCGTACACAGCTCCTGGCTTTGGCCTGGACCAGCTCTGGCTGTTGTGGCCATTTGGGGAGTGAACCAACAGATTTAAGTTTAAGATCCCTTGCTGCTCCATCTTTGAGTAAATAAATCTTAAACAAGAAAAAGAATGTTGAGTATCATATACACAGTATCTCACTATTTTCCATAATTCCTATTTGTAATTTTTCATAATGTTATTTTTCCTTTTTTTAAGATTTATTTTATTTATTTGAAAGACAGAGTTACAGAGAGAGGTAGAGACAGAGTGGTCTTCCATCTGATGGTTCACTCCCCAATTGGCTGCAACGGCCCTCCAGAGCTGCGCTGATCCAAAGCCAGGAGCCAGGGTCTCTCACGAGGGTGCAGGGGCCCAAGGACTTGGGCCATCTTCTATTGCTTTCCCAGGCCATAGCAGAGAGCTGGATTGGAAGAGGAGCAGTTAGAACTAGAACCAGCACCCATATGGGATGCTGGCACTTCAGGCCAGGGCTTTAACCTGCTATACCACAGCACTGGCCCCCATAAAATGTTATTTTTCAAATCAGATTTAAAAGCTATGTTCATTTCTTGAGACGCAACAAATACAAGACACTAGGAAAAAAAACTGCTGCTGAAAAAAGTTGTGAACTATTCAATCCAAGCAGTGATAAGGTATTGTAAAATCTAAGACTCTGCAATTTTCCAAGTGTTTTCAAGCTTTGCTCCACATTTTAAAAAACAACAGCTAGTAGAAAAACTCTTAGATAATACATTGAGAAATAGTAATCAATAAATGCATATACAAGAAATGTCCCTGGTCTCTATAACAAAAAAAAAAATGGTAAATAAATGTACATGTTTGTATTTTAAGTCATATGTTATAACCTGTTATAACAGAATATGTTTATTTTCTTTTATTCAGTTTTAACAATCTTTTAAAATTTAAGAAACACAGGTTCCAATCACATCAGATAAAAAGGCTTGTATCACATACTTTTTTTTCATTTTCAAACAAAAACTAGGTAAATATAAACTGACAAGTGGGGGAAAAAAAAAGCCAGAAATAAAATCACAAAACAACCTCAATCCATATGGTAATGTATCTTAGCAAATACTTGTATGGAACACAAATATGGCTCTGACATTTCTTATAGTCAATACAAACAAGGAAGCTGGGCCAACTCTCCCACAGCACAATACAGAAACTGCTAAAGCTTAATGTCGTTTTAAGGCCACAGATTCCTTATATCTCACCAATTTGTAGGCACTAATGTTATCATCTTTTTTATCATAAAGTGTAAACATGGACTGCCCTGACCATACTTGATAGAAAATGTTATCTTGTGAATTAGCTAATTTATTTTAGAAAACATATCTAATAATATATTTTACCCTTTAAAGTAATTTATTTGATGTATAAGTTTTTAGTCACAAAATTCTCTTCCTTGGATTTTGGGAGTCTGTTTTTTTTTATTTTTTTAAGATTTTATTTATTTATTTGAAAGTCACAGAGAGAGAGAGAGGAGAGGCAGAGAGAGAGAGAGAGGTCTTCCCTCCACTGGTTCACTCCCTAACTGCCTGCAACGGTTGGAGCTGTGCTGATCCAAAGCCAGGAGCCAGGAGCCTCTTATTTATTTATTTATTTGACAGGCACAGTGGACAGTGAGAGAGAGAGACAGAGAGAAAGGTCTTCCTTTTGCCATTGGTTCAACCCTCCAATGGCTGCCGTGGCCGGCGCGCTGCGGCCGGCGTATCGCGCTGATCCGAAGCCAGGTGCTTCTCCTGGTCTCCCATGGGGTGCAGGGCCCAAGCACCTGGGCCATCCTCCACTACACTCCTGGGCCATAGCAGAGAGCTGGCCTGGAAGAGGGGCAACCGGTACAGAATCCGGTGCCTCAACCGGGACTAGAACCCGGTGTGCCGGTGCCGCAAGGCGGAGGATTAGCCTGTTGAGCCACGGCGCGGGCCCTGCCAGGAGCTTCTTTCCGGTCTCCCGCGAGGGTGCAGGGGCCCAAGGACTTGGGCCATCTTTTACTGCCCTCTCAGGCCATAGCCGAGAGCTGGATTGGAAGTGAGCAGCCAGGACTGGGCCCTGCGTCCATATGGGATGCCAGCACTGCAGGTGCTGGCTTTACCAGCTATGCTACAACGCCCTCCCTCCCTTTTTTTCTAATCTTAGCTAAGTCACTGCTTACTTCACAAGAATTTATTAGCAGATTCTGAAACTTGTGCTAGTGCAATACATACCTATTTCTAAGTTAATTTAGATGCTCTTGAAAACATAACTGATTAACTTATTTTGGGTCAATTTTCCTAGTAAGTTTTTGCTTGGACATTCTTGAAAAGAATATAAATTTTCTTCCTTCCATAAATTTTCTAATTAATATTAAACCACTATTAACCTGGACTCTTCATTGGAGAATGCAGTTAAATTGTTTCTTCTTCAAGATAGTCATTACCCTATCAGTCTTTCAAAACATCCCTCTTGTAAACAGGAGCTTACAATTATTTTGAGCAGTTGGCACATGCTACAATCAGTTTAATTTTTGGAGAAGCACCTGTAGGAATAACCTGCATGACAATTTTTGTAAATTTGCAAGGCAGTGAGTTAGTATGAAAAAATGCTCCCATTAACTGGTTTACTTCCCAGGTGGCAGCTGGGACTAGGACTGGGCCTGGCCAAAGCCAGGAGCTGGGAACTAAATCCAGGTCTCCCATCACTGCTAACTCCCAGGGCCTACATTAGGAGGAATCTTGAGTAAGGAAGTAGAGGTAGGTATAAAATCCAGGCACTCCAAAATGGGATAGGGGCATCTTGATTGACATGTTAACTGCTAAGACATACATCCACAATGGACAACTACAGATAACAATTACAGATAACAACACAATTGTCTATATTATCCTAAGTTTGGCAGAAGTTCAAAGGACTTCCCTGCCCCAAGGTGCAAGAAGCATTATCAGGAAATTTATACAAAAAAGAATTTACTTTTTAGGTCCACTCACATGCCTAGAAACATTTCATGGAAAAATGCTTTTGTGTACCATTTTTGAAAAAAATTAGGGTTATTGTTTCTTTTTGTATAGGGTCTTAACAATTTAAAAAGCATTTTCCCAGACTATTTCTTATTTAATGAAAATAATTTCATCTACCCCAATTACTGAAATCAGCAGCTTTGGCTATGGTCTCATATTTACACAAAAGTCATGCAAATTTTAACTGTTAAGCTTTTATGATTATCTTCATATATTAATTATCCATGCTACACGTGAGTAGGCACCAACTGAGTGGGAAGATTCAGGGCCAATAAGGGAGGTAAACAGAATTCAAAACCAAAATATAATACATGGTACCATTTAAAATATCTGGTTAAAGTGCCACAGTAAGTGCCGGGTATAGTGCTAAGCACAAACATTATCTCATTAATCTTCACAACAACCTTGACTATGTAGTTACAGGAAAAGAAACTGAAGGTTGCAGCTGTAGTTACTTACAGAGTCCAGCAGTGTCTGATACTCAAAAACATATTTGCAGAATGAACATATTTTCCAAAAAAAAAAAAAATCAAAAACAAAGAAAAACCACCAGTATTTTATTTCATACTAAGAATTCCTCTCAATTAGCTCCTCATACTTTAAGTTCAAACTAATGCACTCCCCTCTGATTTTCAAGTATTTTGTCCCAGGTACTTTCCCGTCAATTTTCTGGACAATATAACACACTCTTCAGGCTCCCAAACCCCTCTGAGACCTGAATATCACTGAGTGCAGAAGAGGGATTCCAACACTGAGAGGCTATTTCCAGACCAAGAGGACTGAAGAAGGCTCTACTTATTCTTGATGTGGCCAAGATCTCCAAACAATACTTACACCAAAGAAGCTAAGCGGTTGTGAAACCGAACTGTAATCATTTTGATGAAAAAACTCACTCCTTCCTATGTCTAGACACCTGACTTATCTGTTGTGATGCCCTCATACTCCAGGTCAAACTACACTACTTACAAAGTTATCTGACACTACGCCTTCTATTGCCCTCTCTGCTTGGGAAAGCTCCGGTTTTCTGCGCCAGGCAATGCTACCATATCCTTTAAGGCCCCACCACGGTCTTTACCTATCTGGTGAAGCTTCACCTCTATACAATTACAGGTCCTTCTTTCTGGTTATGCACAACACTTTCACAGTACAGTGAAACATCTTCTCTATTTCCTCTTAGCTTTTGGAAGGCAAGGGCTATATGGTGTTATTTTCAACTTCCAACCAATGTGAGACTTCATGAACTTCCCTTTCCCTAGCACTCATCACGGGCTTATTTATTTATTTATTTTTGTTACTATTAGTCTTTCTTATTATATATTATGCTCTGTGGGACTAAGGAATCCCCTAGGACCTGCCTACAGTTGTGGCCTCTTTGGCACAAAACAGGTACTCTATAGACAACGTCTTCTGAGTGGTTACAAGTTCTGAAACTGCCAACATCTCACACCAAGAAGGCAGAATCCCCCCCAAATCAACGTGACCAGGTCTCCAGGATCCTGTTACTATCGCCACCCCAACTCTGCAGTGGTTATACACATAACGTCCCAAGTTCAGCTACATTAAGATTATTCAGAGCACCAGATGCGTCCACTGGGCACCCGTGTTCGCGAGGCTAGGATGAAAAAATACATCACCTGCCCTTCGCCTCCACCGAACAGCTGTTTGGAACAGCTAGGCCTAGAGGACTGGGACTTAAGAACAAAGCCGGCGAGGTCCAAAATGTTTCTGGAGTTTCGCGACAATCGCCGGGGGCTGAGAGCGGCAGCGGCAGAGACAGGGGTAATTTCTGACCTAAAGGAAGTGGGTGTGAAGACGCGGGTAGGGTCCAGAGCCCGGGAGGTAGCAGGAGGCCTTCGGCGGCAGCTGGAATCCCCCTCACGTGTGGGCCTCTGCTCCCACCTCCCTGAGCCGCCCGGTCTCCCTCCCGACCTAGGAACCCTTCTCGTGCCCCCCACTCCTTCCCAGAGCCGTCCCCAGGCCCCTGGTACCTTAGCTTGAGCTCTCCTCCGCCGGGTTAGGGAAGCACCCGTGTCCCCAGAGTTCACACCCGGCCCGCCTTTGCTGCTTGTTTCCGTGCTACCATTGAGAGGATGGTGGGTGCAGGCTAGAGAGGCTCAGCGCTACCATAAAGAGAAGCCCGAGAGAAGCCTAGAGCGGCACAGAGCCGGGCGGCCTCCGGAGGCGGAAAGGGCGCGGTGACGGGATTGGTAAATGATTCAAGACGAGGCAATAGTTGCTTCAGACGCTGGCTCGCGTTTGCCATCTCCTCTCCGAGTTTAGGTAATTGGAGAATCTCCGGGGACTTTCTCTTACGAAATACACGTGCAGCTGACTGGGATTGTCTTCGCAAAGTTACCAAACTTTTGCTCCCAAATGCGCCTAACCCCTGAAGGAGAGTGAATGAGTTAAAAGGCTTTCAAGGAAGGACCCTTGATTTAAGGGATAGAAGATCTCAGAATATATCACAACTTGCACTTTTAAAATTATGTTATAAAAATAGTTGTTACTTTGAGTAAGATGTAGGATCCAGGAAGACGCTTGTAAGTTTTCTGAGGGAAGAGACATTATCCTTTATGTAATTGTGTTGTCTGCCACCTGGAGGTGCCATTTTAAGGTGAATTTGATTCACTTGGAATCATTGTGTGCTCAAAGTGCCATAGACCGAACTTTTGACCGGTTAACTATTTTAAGGTAGGAACAGGAGGGAAACAACATCAAGAACTATTGTTTTAACCTGCCTGTGAAAAGGGAGAGACAGGCAAATAAGGTCCTAGGCCCCAGCTTGCTGGTTATGCTATGTGTCCACCTACGAAAAGGTTGGATTTTGCCATTGAGCCTATGGTTCTCTGCACCACTTTCAAACTGCTCCCCAACCAATTTTAGAACTAGGAAATAGAGAAAAACAAAAGCAGTGTGTCTCAAGAGTGTCTGCTACTAAGTAATGAGACAAGAAATATAAAATTTATTTTATAGCTGATAGACTAGTGAGAGAAAAGGGTAAACAGTTAATCAGTGTAGAGTGATAAATTCCACAATAGCAACTCGGGTTTATGAACTGGATAAAATGAGAAGCACTAAAGCAGGGGCATTCTGGAAGTAAATTAACACTTGCATTGGACTGTCAAATGAGAAACTAATTCGATGCAACAGGAAGGCTTCAAATAAACTAGTAGGCAAATTGTCGTAGAGGTAATGGATCAGGAGGCTCACAGACCAAATTAAGATTCTTGAATAATATGGCTTATTGAGCCAATTTAAATATCCAGTGAAAAGCAGAGGGAAAACACTTAGGGGTACAAACAAGTGGAATGACAATGACACCACGATCTACAACACTAGTTAAGCAGTGTTCAAATATCCTATCTGCCACATCAGAATTCTCCACTTATAAGGACTGTAGGGGAGATTTCAGCAGGGAGGAAAGTGCTTTGAAAATGGCATAGACCTGCGCTATTAGATAGATGCGGGAAAGTAGGGAGGTACTTGAAAAAGCTGATGGGAAAAGTATTACAGAAAATCTGTGCATGGATTTCAAAACATTTTTTGCATCAAAATAAACTTTATCTTTTACTTGCATTTTTAATGTAGTTTTTGGTGTACTCCGGTATGCCTGTTCACACCTGGGCTTACTAGGTAGACTGCTAACAGATACAGGTTTTATTTGCATTTCTTTGGTAGATTGTATAGGAGACTACGCTAGGAGTCACCAGTGAGTGACTGATTTAGGAGTGACATAGTTGTCATCCCAGAGATGTTGTGATTGTCCATAGATTATTTTTTCCATCCATTTTTGACTGTAAGTGAACCTCTACTCTGTCATGTTTTCTATTTATTGTAACTTTGGCATGACTTGTAGTTTACTAACTTTTGTATATTTAACACAATTCTGCCTACGTTTCACAAAGTACATGCTTACTCATAATCTATATTTAAGAAATCCTAGGAGTTTTGATTTTTTCTCATAAGCTACTAGCTTATTTACTGTCTACTGTTAACACAGCTTTCATCCAAATGTAAGACACTGCAAAGGAATTCAGTATGGCTGGAGTGGGAAGCTGGAGAGGCAAGTGGAGGGCAAAAATGCCACCCCCCTTAATATGTTATCCCTCTTAGTATTTTTTTTTTGTTTGTTCTACTTAATACTTTTGGTTGAATACTGTAATCAATACACAATTATTCTTAAGTGTTGAAATTTAACTGAAAAGTGATCGCTGTTAAATATAAGAGTGGGAATAAGAGAGGGAAGAGATGTGCAATTCGGGACATGCTCAAGCTGACTTACCTCAAATGGTAGAGTTAGAAACATACCAGGGGATTGCAATTCAATCCCATCAAGGTGGCATGTATCAATGCCATCTCACTAGTCCCAGTGATCAGTTTCTGTTCACAATTGATCATAATGAAAGGACTAAGAACCAAAGGGAGCACATAAACAAGTCTAGTACCTGCTAACACTAACCGATAGAATAAAAAAGGGAGAGAACCATCCAACATGGGAAGTGAGATACACAGCAGACCCATAGAATGGCAGATATCCTAAACAGCACTCTGGCCTCAGAATCAACCCTAAAGGTATGTGGATCTGGCTGAAAAGCCCATGAGAGTATTTCAGGCATGGAAAGCCAAGACACTCTGGCAAAACAAACAAACAAACAAACAAACAAAAAAAAACACCACCAAACACCTAAATGAAAGATCTCTGTGAGTGAGATCCCAGTGGAAAGAACAGGTCTTCAAAGAAGGAGGTACCTTTCTCTGAAGGGAGGAGAGAACCTCCACTTTGACTATGACCTTGTCTAAACAAGATAAGAGTCGGAGAACTCAAGGGGCTTCCATAGCCTTGGAAACTCATGACTGGAGCATAGGGAGATTACTGATGCCATAAACAGGAGTGTCAATTTGTAAAGTCAACAACAGGAGTCACTGTGCACTTACTCCTCATGTAGGATCTCTGTCCTTAATGTGTTGTATAATGTGAATTAATGCTATAACGAGTACTCAAACAGTATATTTCACTTTGTGTTTCTATGGGGGTGCAAACTGTTGAAATCTTTACTTAATGTATACTAAACTGATCTTCTGTAAAAAAAAAAAAAAAAAAGAAGAAATTATCAATTCCCAACTTGACTCTCACTGGGATTAAACATGACAATAGGTCTGATCTGATTTCATCATTTAAAAACTCATCTATTATTTTTCACTTTATGTTTCTGTGTGGGAGCAAACTGTTGAAATCTTTACTTAATATATGCTCAACTGATCTTCTGTATATAAAGAGAATTGAAAATGAATCTTGATGTGAATGGAAGGAGAGAGGGAGTGGGAAAGGGGAGGGTTGTGGGTGGGAGGGACGTTATGGGGGGGAAGCCATTGTAATCCGTAAGCCGTACTTTGGAAATTTATATTCATTAAATAAAAGTTAAAAAAAAATGCCACCCCCCCCTTTTTTTATTTTGACAGGTAGAGTTATAGACAGTGAGAGAGAGAGACAGAGAGAAAGGTCTTCCTTCCGTTGGTTCACTACCCAAATGGCCACCATGGCAGGTGCTGCGCTGGCCTGAAGCCAGGAGCCAGGTGCCTCTCCTGGTCTCCCATGCGGGTGCAGGAGCCCAAGCACTTGGGCCATCCTCCACTGCCCTCCCGGGCCACAGCAGAGAGCTGGACTGGAAGAGGAGCAACCAGGACTAGAACCCGGTGCCAGTATCCCTTGCCCTAATGCAGACAATTAATAATGACAGCCCAGTTAATGAAGGCACTGGCTCTGTGGAGTTAGGGATGATTCTCTTCCCTCCATGTGGAAACTTGATATTGTCTGGAGATGGTTTTGGTTTAGCCAAGTCAGTGCTATTGGCCTCTGGAGGGATCAGGACAAGGAAACTTCTAAGCATCCTAAAATGCACATGACAAGGCCTCTCAACAAAGAACTCTTTTGTCAGGGCCGGCGCCGTGGCTCACTTGGCTAATCCTCCGCCTGCGGGCACCGGAATCCCATATGGGTGCCAGTTCTAGTCCTGGTTGGTCCTCTTCCAGTCCAGCTCTCTGCTGTGGCCCGGGAAGGCAGTGGAAGTTGGCCCAAGTGCTTGGGCGCCTGCACCTGCGTGGGAAACCAGGAGGAAACACCTGGCTCCTGGCTTCGGATTGGCACAGCGCCGGCTGTAGCGGGAATTTGAGGGGTGAACCAACGGAAGGAAGACCTTTCTCTCTGTCTCTTCCTCTTAATGTCTGTAACTCTACCTGTTTAAATAAATAAATAAATAAATCTTTAAAAAAAAACCAAAGAACTGTGTTGCTCAAAGTTTTAGTAGTGTCAAGATTGAGAAACCATAAACTAAGGAAATTATAACATAGAGATACTAGAAGTTAAGGAGCATAGTTATGATTTTGTAACTGGTTAAATATAGGCAGTACAAAGTAGAGCGTGGTATTAGGGCTCCTGCTTGGGTTACTGATGGGACAAAAGAATGGGTTAGGAAGAATAGAGATAAGAAGTAAGCTGTTTTATATGGTAAGTTTGAGACATCCATGCATGTTACAGGGCTGGCATTGTGGTACAATGGGTTAAGCAGCAGCTTGCAATGGTGCAGCACTGGTTCAGGTCCTGCTACTCCACTTCTAATCCAGCTTGCTGCTAGTGTGCCTGGGAGGGCAGTAGATAATGGCCCAAGTACTTGGGCCCTGGTGACCCATGTGGGAGATCAGGATAAGATAAGGCAAATAAGATCCTGTCTGGCATTGGCCTGACTCAGAATATGCCATTTGGGGAATGAACCAGTAGATGGAAGATTGTGTGTGTGTGTGTTTGTGTCCTCTCCATGTCATTCTGCATTTCAAATGAAATAAAATATTTTATCAAAAAATATGCACAGTTGGAAGAAAGGGTCAGGAGATCAGAGTAGTTTGACCTGGAAGGTAATAGTTCTGGGAAATGTTGGTATGCAAGTGTAATTCTATCCTTGGGGGAAGGGTGGGTGGGGTGGGAAAGAGTTATCCAAGGGATAAATTTGAGTATATAAGGTAAATGAGAAAGAATGGGCTGAAAATTAATCAAAATTTCTAGACCATCATTCTGCTTTATTGAATAAAAATATCTGTGGTGGGCTTTGTGGTATATCAGGTTAACCTCTTGCTTGTGAGGGTCGCTTCATATATTAGAGGGCCAGTTTGAGTGCTGGCTACTCTGCTTCTGATTGAGCTTCCTGCTAATGTGTTTGGGAGGCAGCAGCAGATGTGTCAAGTGGTTTGGCCCTTGCCACTCATGTGGGAGACCTAGATACAGTTCT